GACTGGGAATTATTTATATTTAAATTATTATTGTTATTATTGTTACTAGTATTATTGTTTGTATTTGTTGAATTATTGTTGATGTTGCTCTCACTATGTAGGTGACCTGACGTTGACTTGCTGATTGGAAGGAGGTTTTCCTGTTGGAATATAAATTTAATAGGCATTTGGATTAATTTTTGAAGATTAAGTTACAAGCTAGCTTTCCTTACCAACAATCCAGCAATTGATGGCCTTTTCTTTGCCACAACTGGAACAGAAAGTGTTTGTATTGGCTGATTATTAGTTCCAGAACTGTCCTCATCGGAATCAAATGCAGGGCTACTTGATCTCTCACTCTTATCGCCTGTCGTTGCATCATTACTACTGTCCTTATTATCCTTCTTCTTATTCTTTTCATTTGACTTACTATTGTCAACAGACATTTTCTTATTTGCCGCTGTTGTCGTTGAACTTTTTCGTCTCTTTGTTTGGTCATCAGATGAACCGTCTTGATTACTTCTACTTGAATCCGATTTTTCATTTGTCTCTTGTGCTGTTGTCGGTGTTATGGCCAATTTATCAGCAGCCGTACTTGATTCTGCTTTCGATGATATCCCGATGCCTGCTGCTCGTCCCTATTGTAAAAAATAATTGGATTTTGGTTTGTATTCATTAATTAATCAAGTTTTATTTGAATGGATAACTTTTTTGAGGTTAGGGTACAGGAATTCAAAGAAAATAGTCAGTAGATTGATTGATAATTGAAAGACATCTTTGAGTAGGGTAAGTTCACCAATGATGAACAAATTTGATGAAGAATCTATACTTACAGCCATTCCAGTAAATCCTGCACTTAGTGCCACCATGCTCTGCATTTTCCTTTGCTTAGCTTCACTCTTCTTTTGCATATCATAAGCCGTTTTGTAAATGCCACCATATAAAATAAATAAAACAATTAACGTTGTCCAATAGTATCCGATAATTAAGGCAGTATTAAATACAGGATCTTTAAGAAATTGTACGGCACATTGACCAGGAAGTAAATCTCTGTAACCTGTTGCAATGAAAAAAGAATAAAGAAGAATTAAACAGAAAGACAGGAAAATTGATTACAGCAGACAACAAAAAAAGAATTTCATTTATATTTTGCGGATAGATGGATGTACAGCACAGCGTATACGTCGAAGGGAGATAGCGATAATGGAAATATTTAATTTTCTCGTTCAACTTCATCTCATCGAAATGGCATACAATAAATCTACATTGTACCTTATACACACGTAAAGAGATTATTGATTTATATTTTCAGGTGAAATGGATTGAAATTTATGTGCAATTTAGTGAGTTTTGTGAGATGGGAATTTAGCTTTTTGATGCCGTGAGACTTGATGAATTAATAAAATTGATTGAATTGTTTGATGGATTAGAAGTAATGTTTTCTGATAAATTTTAACATCAACTTTGTAGCAAAATACTGAAGACTATTAAGGTAGCTTTATACAGGCATCAAATATCAGTTGGGATGCTTTATCGTTGAAAATTTTAATTGAATCATAAATGAAATTATTTCTGTAAATCTTGTCCATAAAATGATCATATCGCAAGCTTAGAAGAGTGCATTAATATCAGACAGGGTTTTGAGTCTTAATCATTTCAGATCCTCAATCCAGAGCTTCTTCTTTCTACTCCTGAAATATCAAAACTCACCAACAAAATGCTCCCAACCGAAAATGGATATAAAGAACAGTAATGCCGGTATAATCCATGTGATTGTCACCATCCATAAAACCTTATCTCTCGTCCTCCAGGCTCGATATTTTGCAGCAATTTTCACAGAACAAAAGCGATCAATGGTGATTAATAAGACTGTATATTGTGATACCAGACAAACAGTGTAGTCAACAGAAAGCCTAGAATAATGAATGGTATAAAATTTATTGAAATAATACATCATGCATGCTGAACTCACCAAAGATCACATAAAAGAGGCCCCAAATCCCAATAGCCCATTAATACATAGACAGTATAAAATGGCATTGATACAGTTCCAATTAGCATATCGGTTGCAGCAAGGGAAGCTATAAAGTAATTACTAGGCTGTCGTATATTCCTATCGACAATAAATGCAAGTAATACAAGCGTATTTCCGCCCACAGTCAATAGAATACAAGCGGCTAAGCAAATTGCTATAAATATTGTCTGCCATAATGAAAAGGGCGGTAAGACCTGCAATGGAATGTTCGTTGATGATGCCATATCACCTGTTATTATACGTGTATCATTTATATACTCCATGGTACCATTTAAATATGATAAATCAATAAAGTTTGTTGCATTTGGATGTTCTCGCATCCATTGTAATAGATTTGTGTCATTCCATTGCATTGATGATCCTGATGACGATGATGCTACTGATGATCGATACTCTAAATATTGTGAACACTGCTGGTAATTAAATAAGCGGTTTACTATCAATTTGCAAATTTTCTCGATGTGCTCGTGTTTCTTCTTAATTTTCCTTCAATGAGAAAGCATATAAGGGATCGTTAGTAAATATTGTAGTGAGACTTTAAGACTAGATTTGGAATAGACTAGTAATTAAATTCTAAGCTAGGCAAAACTTATTGATAGACTATAATTTTAAGGCACTAAGTTACATCTAAGTAGATAAGATTTGACTCCCAACACTATTCTTTGAAATAAGTTAAAACTAGCTTAAGCATAAGAGACAACATAAGTTGTCTCAAAAGTTTATTTTCGAGCAACAGAAAGACAGCATAACAACCAGTTCATCAACCTTTTTCAATCTCATCATAATAACACTGTTACTCAACTCTCAAATTAAGAAAGAGAATAAGAAGAATAGCTGCAAATTATGAACAACTTGAGGGAAATATCCAAAAGACACTCAAGCATCAGCTCGAGAAAGACGTAAATTATTAATTTATTCCGTAATAAAACGAAAAATTCTCCAAAGCAAATTAATGGACATTAAGGAGTCTCATTTTACATTATATTTTCATCTACACTTTCCTCATCCAACAAAGCAGCTCCGATTGCAAAATTTTCTCATTACTAGAACAACAAATACACTCAAGCATAACGACAATTAGTGTAGAAATGAACAAACACGAAGAAGAAGGATGGAAAAGAGAAATAATTGAAATCAACACAAGAAAAACAAAGCAAATGCAAACGTTGGAGCGATTGCAAGCAATTACAATTGAGATTTAATGAATATGTCATAAAAATATACGATCCGTGAAATTTCATTATTTTCTTTCTCGTGTGCATGAATACGCTTTAGTGTTTGAAAAGGAAACGGCAAATGAGAATATATAAATGCAAGGTGGAATTGAATGGCTTGTTTTGATGATTTTTTTTGATGTCGGGAAGATAAATGGATGGGAAAATTGAAATTGATGAGGAATTTGTCGTTTTTGGGAAGGGATTGAGTTAATTGAGTGCCTTAATGTTGTGGAGTCGATTACTACTGACGTCTGGCGGTGGGTTTGCAGAACTCAACTCTAATCATTTCTTTTATTTTCTAAATGCTTCTTCCATTCTCCACTGCATCAAAATAATGCCTTTAAACCCCATAAAATCAACCCATCATCAAATCCTCACACAAAACCATACCTGAAGCATAACATCACATCATATAAATAGTAAATGAATGTGATCTAAAAATAGTATCAACTAAAATCCTCCGCAGTTATACAAACAGCAAAAAAAAAATCCAAATGGAAATAAACAGACACGGAAATAGAGTGAAAGTAGAAACCTATTATGCACATTTTTTTCATGATGTGATGGAAACATTTCATTCTCATTCATTCATTCATATTTGCATTTTTTTACTCAGTCTCTTGATTTTTTTTTTCATTACACAAGCCTTAAATGATGCATATTCATGAATAAGAGAGCATAAAAAGCTGTTCATATCAATGCGATATTCATTACCATTATGAAAAAGTGGAGAAAGAGTTTAAAACTTGTAGACGATGATGAATGAAAAGAAAATGAAAGCAACTGCAAAATGGAAGGGAAACTAAGTTTTAACTAAAAGGATGGAGAAGATTAAGATAGAAGAGGAAAATATCTGGAAATAAAAATGTTTCTTTACTTTTGTTAATGAATAAATTTTTAATGGTTAGACTTGAAATTGGACAATATTGGATTTATAGATTTTTAATGCACAAGAATCAGCATCTTAAAGAAGCTCCCATTCTGCTATACATCTCATGATCCTAAATTATCAAATCAATTCCATTGCTCGATAAGTTTTTACTAAAATATTAAACCAATATTTTTGACACATTTAATTGCTGCTCAGTGCTCACTTGCCACTTCAGAACCATTTCCTGCTCATGTTTAACTTTTGAAATCAGATTAAAAATTCATAACTTTATACCAACAAAAATGTTCATGTCCACAAACTTGTCATCTCCCTTTCAGTTCCTTTTATTGAAATAAAATATTAAATTCTCCTCAACCCCCCAAAAATGTGGGTCACAGCACCAAAAAATAAACTTTTGTGAATTCATCAACAGAAAACTTTTAATGAAGAAAAAAAATTCATAAATTTTATAATAAAAATATTTGCATATTGATGAGGGTTATTGTTACGGTCAATTGTGACTTTCAGTGGCCCAATTTTCAAGGGCAATAAGAAACTTTTTTCCTTATTTCTTTCTTCCTGTCTTTAATTGGCTTGCCTGATTATCGGACATTAAATTAAAGCATTAAATTATGAGAGAGGAAATTTGAGAGATTTGAATAAATAATTTTTGTTGTGATGAGGAACTGCAATTCAGAGTTGTATTTGATGGATGAAATGTTCTATGAAAGGATGTCTAGCTTTGAAGGATAAAAAATATTCCCATTAAAATAATTAAAAGCATGTAAAATTTCAAGTTTAAAGTTAAAAAAAGTTTTATATCAAGATTCCGAGCAAACTGCATAATTTCATCCTTAACGTTCACTTCCAACCCATTAAAACGACCTCCACAAACTTTAAACCATTACCATTCATTTACAAGCAAGTAAACATTAAAAATAGCTTCTTTGTACCCATCAGCATAACTCATTCATCTCTTGTCATTCAATCTGCCTACATTCAAAAGGGAAAAAAAATCCACTTGTGGCTTAAAATAGCATAAAAATGCCTTTCCATTGAAATACTGCAACATTAATAATAAATCTGATGAAAAATCCCAAGCATCCTTTTACACCTCTTATGTCCTTAACTGCTTTACCTGTTTCATGTTTACAGGCGCATTCTCCAGAGTGGAAATTACAAGAAATAAAAGATATGGAAAATATCCACTTTTGTGTCACACTTCCTTACACTTTTACATCGTTCTTAAAAAATTATTATGTGTGCATAAGCTTCAGGACTCGACTCATGATTCTTTCGCTTTTGAATCGGTAATGTTTACATCTTTTACATCCACTTGAGTGAGCAGAATTTTATACGATGGATGAGAATATTATTTTTTGTGTCTGCCTGATTATAATTTTAATATCTTTGAGAGTAAACAAGTTGTAGCTTGAAGCTTCAAGCAAAATTGGTAAAAATAGGATGAATTTCCGATTAAAATTTTAAGACAGATTAATTTCCATTTTATCTTCAGGCTGTGATGAGTTATTGAAGCATGTGGAGAGTAATTTTGATAGAATTTATGTTAATTTCAATTGAGCACGTGGAATTTTTGCGGAATGATTTAAAGGATCGAAAAAAAATCGAGTAAGTTTTAATATATTCTCAAAATTGTCAAAAATCTATGAATCTTTCAAGATGACTGGTAAGTTTATGATTCTAGTTAACATCTCTTGTGGTTCCAAAAGCAAATTAAAACATAGTGAAAATGGGTTCAGATCCTTTTAAATCTGACTAATGCTAGCTTAGGTCCCATGATTTTTCCAGAATTCTTAAGATCATGCATGATAAAATGCGCCCAAAATCCAATCAATTCCTTCAACTTCCATAACATGCACCCCATCCACATTCGTGCATCTGTAGCTTACAAAAGAAAAAGAGTCATCCATGAATATTATTATGGATTTTGTTTGACGAGATAAGCAACAAAGAAGTTGGAATTGACTGCATATCCCTAAACATATACAAACACTCGTTTTGGGGTTACGGAACAGCAAGCAATGACAATATTTTTAAATGGAAGTGAGAGAAGGGTTCAGTGTACAGAACCATTAATGACAGAATGTTAACGATGACCATAAATTTCAGCACACGAAAATGACAACTGCCACAACAGTAGCTTATCGCCACTTCCACTTTTTTTCCTATTTCAAAAACCACAAAATTTACTTACAGTAGCACATGGTACAATATATTGCATGTATTTTGTCCTGTTTAGCTACCAAATGGAAAATCTCTCAATGAATTTTTGTGTGGCACTTCCACATATTGTTTGACTAACGAAAAGCTTCTGTTTCTTTTGAAATCTTGTGGTGATTTTGAATAATTTTCGCAATTTTTCAGGTTTTTTCTTTAATTTTTTAAATTTAATATTTTTATTGGTTTTTAATAAATTTTCAGTTTTTCAAGTTTTCAAAAAATTGTCTTTTGAATACAACTTTTAAAATTCTGCAAAATTTTACCGTACCATATCCAAATCCACATTGAAAACTAGGGTTTTCAATCCCGGTCCAAATTTTCAATCCCGGGATTACGGGATTGAAAATTCTCGATCCCGGGATCCCGGGGAATCCCGGGATTAAGAGATTATTAAAGAAGCCTTAAAATTTTCAATAAATAAAACATAAAATCTTCGTTTGAGAGAAAAATTCTTGTTTTATATTTGATCTATGTATGTTTATTGTTAATGATTAAGCAAAAAAAGAAAATTAAGTACTAATAATCTTAAAATAAGGTTTTCATTTTGAAAAGTAGGCTTTAAGAAAGCAAAGGTGATCCAAAGAATCATCAAGTAGTTGAATGCGAAGTTTACTACAAAAATTAGTTGTTAATGAAAAAGCACGTTCAGATTCCACACTTGTAGGTTTGACAGTTAATAGATACTCATAAGTCAAGTTAAGCAATGACCCTTTGATGCCATTGTCGTCAAACATCACAATTTCTCTCTTCAGAGCCTTTTTTCTACTCTTAGAATTGTCCCTTTTTTGAAATTAGTAATTTTTAAGAATAAAAATAAAATTAAGAAAAACAAATCGTCACTTACTTACATTTTTTTTGTGATGAGGCATATTAACAAAATTTCAGTGAGTATTGTGCACGTCAGTAGTGTTTTGTAGTTTTTAAAAGCAATAAATCAAAATTTCAATGATTTTGAATTATTTGTATTTCTTGCGAACGAATTTTTTTACAAAATTTAAGAATTTTTTAAAAAATTTTAACTACTAACTCAATCCCGTAATCCCGGGATTGAAGCTGGTTTCAATCCCGGGATTGCGGGACCAAAAAAAATGCGGGATCCCGGGATCCCGGGATCCGGGATCCCGGGATTGAAAACCCTATTGAAAACCGGATAAATA